CAAGGACTCGTCCAAGCAGTCACTTCAGAGTCGGTAACGACTGAGCGCAGATTAAATTTTTTAAAAAATGCTATTTTCTCAGTTCTCCTCTTCCATTCTGTAACTGTTTTTCAAATGTTTAAGGTCATGCTGTCTCAAAATCCATTTAGAAAAGGACTTTGTTTCATCTGTTGATTTCATTTTACTGGAAATTGCATAATTTCATAATTCCATGCATAGGTCTCATCCAGCCGCTCCATTTCTGAGCATACATTTTGTATATTACATATAATTCACTAGGTATGTTTATTTCCATCTCCTAAGTAGCAACCATGTTAGCCTGTTGCAACCCAAACAAAAATATCTGAGTGCAAAGGCACAAATTCAAATTTGCTTTAGAGAAAAATAAAATGTAACAGTCTCCAATTTTAAAAGGAAAGTTTATGAACTTTTTGAAATAAATAAGTACCGGGACAGGGATAGGTGACCTCACAAGCAAAGTGACAAGTGTGTCCAGACCAGCGTTTCTAATAGCTGCAAGATAGGCAGAAAGTCAACCAGTGAAGCACAAGCATTGCTAGTTAGAGGCATTATTATTCACGGACTAGTCCCATAAGGCTAGGGATATTAATATTGTAGCAAGTTTAAAAGATGAAGAGTGTGAACATGCCAATTTGCATATTAGTAAAACTTCCCACACCCCTGCCTCTCTGTGCTTCCTGTTTCTCACACAGTTGCCAAAGACTGAAAAGGCTTGGTCAAAGGAAAGGCGGCAGCTTTTCAGGGCTGTATGTAATCCAGTGCTCAGTGGATTCTTGTAATGCTCTGCAGTGGCTGCAAGGAACACTCACAGGATCATTCCACATACCATATTTGCATGTATGAGACTGGAGGCAACCCGATGCTTTGTAGCGGTTTTGCTTTCCAGCTCCAACCAGTGTGTGCTACAGCAACAGGGAGGATGGGAACTCAAGTCCAAAATATCTAGTGGGCATCAATTTGCAAATCCCACTGCATATCAAAAACATGTCCAAGTAGCCATCTAATACAGTAAAAGGTGAAAGCACCAAAGATGTTGCTTTGAGGCAAAGTTTTGTTGTGAAAGAGGTCTTGCTTCATTCATGGAATCAGATGTGAGATGACATGGTTTTCCATTAGCGATCTTCCTGAATTTTGGCACTGCTTCTATTGTTTATTTTTTCTTACTGAAAAAAAAATCCATTAAGGAGGAAAAGCCCACAGTGGCTGCTTGTTTATAGAGACAGAGAGAGAGATTTAGAAGCACCCTGAATTGATTGTTGAGGTGCTGAGGTCCATTGCAGCTCCTTCGTACTTTAACCCCACCTACAAAGAAATGTCTACAAGCCAACCCTCATATATTTCATGCACTGTATTCCTTAATAACCCTGTGAGGTAGGTTAGACTAAGAAATGATCAATAAGTCAGCATTACACAGTGGCTGTGTGGCAAGATGAACCTAACATGTTTTGTTCTTCATGCAACAGTTCAGCCCAAGGATGGGTAGCCCTTTTAGCCTAGAGTGTTGCACTGTTGCCTGTTTAGAGGGTAAGAGCTGCACTGCATGCGGTGTGCCACACACACAGATTGCCCTCCCCCCACCTTCCTTTCTAGAGATCTTGAGCACCTTTGCTGAGGAGAAGAGAGAAACAATAAAAGATTCTCACTTCCTCCCATTCACCAGATTGCCTGGTTCCCACTGCAGGAAATCAGCAATGTTATGTACTGGGTCACTGGGAGGGACTCATTACAAGCCCACCCAGGGATCCTGGTCACAACTGCTGGTTTTCTGCTGCCATGAACTTTCAGGCAATTAGCTGACTGGTGAGGAAAGTGGGCAAGGTTCTTCATAGTGCCCACATAGCTAAGTCCACCCACCCACCCCTATTCTAGTCTTTATATCATGTTGTGTGTGCCTTCGAGTCAATCCTGACTTCTGGCAACTGTCTGGCCAAGTCCCTACAGTTTTCTTGTCAAGATTTCAGAAGTGGTTTGCCCTTGCCCACTTCCTAGGGCTGAGAGAGAGGGACTGGCCCAAGGTCACCCAGCTGGCTTCGTGCCTAATGCAGGACTAGAACTCACCCTGGTTTCTAGCCTGATGCCTTAACCACTACACCAAACTGGCTCTCTTATACCACATTTACTTTTATAATATTCAGGCATATTAGAGGCATAGAGTACCTTCATAACATCCAAATCAGTCTTCAATGAATGTCCTTTTATTCTTACTGTCCAGAAGTTGATTAGAAAGATTTTTGTCCTCCTTTTTTCCCATTAGTTTTAAAGTAAATATGGGTTCCAGACTTTTTTTTTCCCCGTTAAGATACCCTATGTCCAGAAGGTGGTGCTGGTGCTGTACACACAAATAAATCACATTAATGCATTTTGCACGTGAGGGGGCACTTTAGATACCTGGTATATTTCAAGCTCTGTGCCTATTATGCCCAATTAAGGTATGCTAAAAAGGCATTATTTTGGACAAGACAATATTAGCTATTAAAAGTTGAGGTAATAACTTTTACAGAAATTCATACTACTGTATATATAAAGGCATTGGTATACTTGTAGTAATGTAAATGATTTGAGGCTTAACATTCCAGGGAACATTATCTGGCATGCTTTTTTCTAAGTTTCCTTTTTTACACTTGGAATCTATTTTTGAGCACAAAACATAATATAAACCATCATTTAGGAAATATGTACCTACAGAAGCATGTTTCTTTCCTAGTAACACATCAGTGAGATTAATAGGCTTTCTTCAGTATGTGTTTAGATCACATATGTTTAGCTCAAATTTAGTATATGCTCATATTCTGCTTATTTTCAACAGAACGGCTCTCAGATGTGTGCATAAGATTGCTTCTGGTGCAAAAAGAATTAGCTTTTCATTTCTAGGGAGAGTTTGACTGGGTTCACAAGCATGCAAACTATAGCAATGTAGTTGTTTGCTGTTGGGTAGTTTTGGTAGTAACCCATAATTTATTACTCTGTCCACCCAGCCATTTGTGGTTTATTAAATGAACAGTGGCTTGGCATGATGTGTGAACATCTGCTTCTGAGTTAGTTACGCTTACAGATTTTGAGCTTCGGAACTAGAATGTTCACACTTGTAGCAGAGGTAATGAAATAGTAAGTCTGTAACTGGGTGAAAATTGTATGTGTGTGTCTGTTATATACACATACACAGCACCTATTAGCCATTAAAAATCTACTGCAATTCTGTTATTTCAGGCGTGGCATCCAGAAGAGGAAGGTATGTTTCAGGCAGAAGTTTCGCAGTGGGAGCCTATCCTTCAAAACGAAGGGCAAGAGCTCTTCACGTCGCACAACAATCAAGCCCTTGTCGATGTGGAGGCGCCTTCCTTCGGCAAACCGGGACCCTCGTCTAAGGAGGCAGATACGGGCCCTCGCTCCACCGGCCTTGCTACCTCCTGTTCACACGCTCTTGGGCCGCGGCTCTCGGTTTCGCCCTTCCCCTCGGAGGAGGAAGATGTAGCGCTGCGCCTCCGGAGGAGGAAAGGGCACCCGACGCTCGAACCCGGAACGAGGTTTTCCGTCGAGAAACTTTCGGTTTGCGAGCGGAGATCCGGAGGTGGCAGAGGAGCCGCTGGGCCAAGAGCCTGAGGGGCAGGCATGGCGGTGAGTCTCGCAGCTCGACGCCCTTTGCATCCGTCCGGCGGACGGGCAGAGAGAGACGCTCCGCTCCGCTCTCTCTCGATCGCGCTCCAAAGTCCAGCGGCCAGCGCGCAACTCAAACCGCAGGAGGTCCTTGTCAGTTTTCCGACCCCGCCCCGCCCCTCTCCTGCCCCACCAGGAGGCGAGGTGGCCCGGCTTGCGAGGAAACCGACCGAGATCATCTTCCAGCCGGCTGGTCCCCACCCGGGGTTGAATTTCCATTAAGTGTCTCGAGGTGCAGGAAGGTTCCCACAGGGTTAAGTGCTTTCCCTCACAGGAACTGGTGTACCACTCCCCCACAGATAAAAAGGGAGGAAAAAGGAAGGGTTGTATCTTCCTTCACATACGCAGAGGGCAAGGGCTGCAGTGGTCCCTGTCTCCCTTCCCTTTATCTGCAAGGCAGCTTTTTAAGGATTAAATTCATTTTAATCCATGTTGCATTTCATTCAGGAACTGAACCCAGCCTTCCCAAAGCACTATCAGGAAGCCTAGTTGTTCATAGTATCTTTGGAAAGAGCTGGCAATCACAGCGGCCCTAGTTTTGGTTTTGCCCCCAAGGTATACTGAATCCACTTTTTTCCATACTGCACAATGCCCACCAAGTCACAATGCAGAAAATAGCAAAGAGAGTCCAAATGATGCCACCTAAAAGGGTTAGACTATATTAGTGCCCCCTTTTCTGGAATCCAGGGAGATTCCAACATCACATTTTCCCTTTTGGTAAGGAGTGACTTCCACTGGAAAGAGGAAACTGCTCTTGTCTGACTGTCCAGAGGTCAGGCACTGGAGCTGGTTTTTCCAGTGCTCGGCTGAGATCCAGCCTCTCAAGTCAGGTATGTGCAGACTGGAGTGCTCAGAGACTGGGGGAAATGCCAGGACCAGCAGCTGCCCTTGGGCTGTGTGAAAGAAGTCACTGTAAGCATGTAACTCTCTCTATTAGGGTGGTTGAAAACTGCCCACAGGCATGACAACTAATCCTCAGACTTCATGGAGTCTACATTTGGACTTGCTTATAGGAAAACATCTGAAAGGTATCTATGGTGCAATGTATAGGACTGAGAAATCCAGACATTCTGCCTAGTGCAGGTTTGAGAGGCACAGGGCCAAGGGTGGGGAGGGAGAGAGGGCCATTCAGCCTGGACCTTAAGCTCAGAGGTGGCTCAAATTTAGACATGTGCATTTAAAAAAAAAAAACACCAGCATTTAAATCATGTTTATGCTTTTTGGATGTCTTATTTTGTGTCAGTGGGTCATCATTTGTTGTTCTAACCATGAGCCACAAAAGCTGGAAGTTGCCAAAGCCTGTCTTGAACTCTCAGAAGGCCTGAAGTGGTTTGTAAATGTTCCTTGAATAGGCCACAGATGCAGGGCACTTTGATTGTGGCCAAAGACCTTTTCAATTGGTAGGCAAATGTAAGAGAAGGCAGGCTTGGTCACTGGGATATTTTGTGCAGTTCCCAGTGTGGCTAGAAAGTATCTGAAAAAAAGCTTTAATAAGAAAAGCTGCAAGAAAGCTGAAGGGGAATGAAGCAAGTTGATTTTGTGATGGTTGTTTCTGTTTTCTAGTGCAATGCTTGCCCAAATTGGGGAGGGGTGTTTGTTTGCCTCCCCCTTCAGAAGAACTCAGCAGGATGGAAAATAGGGTGGGGATAAGGAAATACATGAAGGTACAGAGGTATGGATTGCCCAGAAGTATGGATGGCACAGAGGCTCAGACAGAAAAGCCCTTTGAGGTTGAGGGTGGATAATGAGAAACTAGTTGAGGAAGAAGTTCTACTGCCTCCTGAGTTCACATCAGCTGGGACAGAAGGGAGCTACCTAACCACTGGAAGAAAAGTATGTTATTTCCAAGGCTGGTATATTTACCATCTCTTTTTGAAAATTATTAGGGTAACAGGGAAGGCTTGGGCTCTTAGGAATCCAAAACCTCCTTTAATTGACTCCTAAACTCAGGTAAGCTAAGCAGGATCAGACCTGATTAGGACTTGGATGGGAGACCTCCAGGAAGCACTAGGACTGTGGGCTAGACTGAGAAGTTGAAAAACCTTCCCAGAAGATAATGGCAAACCACGTCAGCACTGTTGCCAAGAAAACTACATACTGTAGATCTATCTGTGAAGTCCCCAGGAACTGAGCTCATTGTAGAGGAGACTCCCTTCCCACTGTCCAGGGACTACTGCCAGGAGAAGTGGTGGTGGCAGAAGTTTCCATCACCACAATATGGCTGCCTCCAAGGTTGATCTCTTATTTGCAAATCACCCTGTCCATGGAGAAGGAGGTCTGCACTGCCTGATGATCCCTGCAAGAGGACTGTCCATCTGAATCCATCAGGCAGCAAAACTTCTTGGGTTATCACTTCTTGGGTTAGTGTCAGGCCCAGCCCAAGAACAACAGGAAAACAGTCCAACCAAGTTCAGATCCTTTATTGCTTATACCATACAGACAGAATCTTGCCAGACTAAATCTGTAGTGGGTATACCTTGGGAGATTCTAGGGAGTGGCTATTCTAAATGTCTTACACTTCCCATGCTCCAGCTCTGGACTGTGTTGTCTCTTGTCCCTCTGCCCTTTTTGGAATGCACCCCCTCCTTCCTGAGAACCTTGCTCTCTTCTGCAGTCACCACAGTTAGCACCTAGAACAGCAATTGAAGGAGCAGCAGGAGAACTAACTAGCTAACTGCCTGCCTGCCTGCCTTTTCAGCCTCTTGGCTTCCTTCTTGTGAGCTGGGAAGAAAAGACCCGGGGGGGGGGGGGGAATGCATGATTTCAGAAGACAGCTGTTGTGAAACACTCAGCCTAACAAATGTTGGCCATGTGAGATTATTTATATTAGTTCCTTGTATGTTCTAGGGAAGGAAAGATTGCTTAGCATTTTCAGTATTTTCTGGGTAGAAAAAAAAGTTTTTCTCTTATCAGGATTAGTAATCACTGAGAGTCAGTAATCTGCAAACTGTTATGAGCACATGAAGAAAGATTCAGCTACCCTTTCTTAATATAGAAGATTATATATTGTGTATTAGATTCCGACTCAACCTATTTTTATACTGATGTTTTTAAAATGAGTGTATTCATGTCTGTGCAGCCATCAAGATACGTGACTCCCAGAATAAGGAATCCCTAGCTGTAAATATTTAAATACATTAATAAAAAAAAATTCCCCTCTCACCCCTATGGGTGGTGTGTGTCTTCCTCAATCTGGGGTCCTCTACCAGAGGCCTGGGAGTTTG